CCTACCAGTTCTAGGGAAGAAGAAACATTGTAAAACAAACCCAAAAGGATTTCAGGGCTTCCCAATTCAGCAATAGCTTATTCAGCAGAAATACCTTGATTTCATATTATACTTCTGGTTACTTAGCCAATTAAAATATGAAAAGAGAGAAATAAATGAAGGCATTTTGTAGTAGGATTGGATTATATTTTATTACTAGTCCCTTTGGCCAATCGAATGCTCCGACTACAATCACAATGGGGTAAGTCCTCCGACTCAACTAGCACGCCTACTTAAAGCGTATCAAAAATAACTACAAATGAATCGTAGTTTTAACGCTTTGTTTTACTCGAAATTAAGGGTAAATAGCAGCTTGCCATCTTGATACAGCCGCGATATATATAAGTTGAAAGAGGTTTTGTAGCACCACATCTTTACTTGAATAGTTAGTGGGTGCATAGTGAGTAAAGTGTTAGTCCCTGATCTCACACGTCCCAGGTTCGATTCCCATCGAGTAAATTATTGCACCCACAAGAGAAAGAAAGAAGATAAATGAAAGCTCAATCCCGGGGAAAATCAATTATATGCAAACAGTAGGGAGATACTGTGGCCAGATCGAGGCTTCTCATCTGAACATTATGAAAATTAAAAACAACAGTAAGTAAAGCATTAATCTATCAAAAATGCTCCATTAGTCATAAATCGGATTCTCTACTAGTTTTGGTATCATCAATTTAAAATATGGCTATTAGTGAACAGTATATATTTGAGATATTTTTCAATAAATAGATTAACCGTAAATTTAGCAAGGGAACTATTTAGTTACAGTTTTTAAATAAATCATGTTTTCTTAAAAGTAGGAACGTACAAGTTATTAAATTTTGCCCGTAAGTCAACTAGTTAACAAAACTTATTTATAACTCTATCGCTGTAAAAGCAAAGTAGCAGCAATAAAATAGATTGCTGTGTCCATAACGTCAGTAATATATATTGTCCTACGGTTAAAAAGACAAAAATGCCAAGAATTTTCCGTGACCACTACGAAAATAGCGTATTTTACAATGGTCTCCAAAATAATATCACGTGTTGCCATAGCATTTGTTGTCAGAACGATCCAACTACAAGGATGCCGAAAATCTATGACCTAATGAATTTAGAAACTAAAAGCTGACTCAGCAAACTATTCCTAATACAATAAGGTTGATGATATCTATCAACCTGACTTTGTAGATTAAGGATAGGGAACAGAAATATGGTTGACACACTTAAGCGATTAATACTGTGAACTAGAAGTATCTACAGATTATCAAAACATAAAAAGGAAACTAAAAGATTACAACTGAAAATAGATGAGTAACTAAATTAATTCGATCGTAAGTTGACGCATCACAGAGATTATGAAGAAGATCTATCTAAGCATATAAAATAAGACAAAAAGAAAATTTTTATAAATAATTCATCAGATGCAGAAAAAGCTTTCTTGTAGACGAGTAGCCAAAACATATGTAGAGTTCATGAATAAATATAGATTAATTTACCTTTACAAAACCAAAGAGAATAAATCACCTTAACTTATCACATCGCATGGCTTTCTCAACCTTCTAAACTACACATTCTCTAGATCTTCAGAATTTGTCGTAAAATATGCCATCATTTTCTATACTTTTGCTACATTCACGCTTATAGGCATAGTAACTAAGATGATAGCTTACTTTTAATCTTTAAAGACCAAATATTCCCTCCACCACTAGAGCAGTCATCGATGCCTTCATCCACAGCATCTTCTTCTGCTTCTATCCCATCAATATCCACTGGTAACAGTGTAGCCGAGTTTCTGCTGGATGTTGGCTGACTTTTACTGCCTCCTTTATTTCTGTGTGTCGCGGCAACCTTTGTAGACCTGTACTGTACATCAGCCTGCTTTGATTGGAAATTGGCTGCTTTGGTGTCAGGAATGTTGAGAAAAGCGCACAAATAATTACCGCGACTGGCAGCCCCGGAACAAGAGCTGCCAGCTGAATGCATTCTCTGATGCTGATGACTGGTCTCGATGGAAGAGCTTGTAAAACCCTGATGAAATCTGAAGCTGTGGCCAACAGCTCCGGCACTCCCTGCATCTGATATGGATGCTTGATTGGCCGACGGCCATTTGGCTTCGCTTGATGCGATGTTGTAAAGGTTTGTAGAGGAAAAACTACGCGGAAGGGCTTCGGCTCGTGGCAAAGACTGTGCAACAAACAGCAGGGGAGATAGGAGGATAAAAAATATTGTTGTGGTAGGGAAGGATAAGAAAAAGATAAATGGAAGTGAGGAACAAGAAGGACCAGGAAAAAATGAAAAGGAAAATAAAGAAATCTGCTAGAAAATGAATGAATCAGGAAGGCATAAAATAAAAAACGAGAAAAAGACGGAAATGAATGAGCGACTGAATGAGTGAGAAAGAAAAGGGGAGGAAAGGCAAATGGGGAAATGAATAATGAGAAATGATAATAATAGTTAGACACTTCAAGGAGGTGAGCTATGAGAAATATCTTAAGCGGAAACATCATAGT